GTGTGTGTGTGTGGCCAGCTCAGCCCACCAGGGGGCGGGGCTGGCTGGCATGTGGTGCTGGGGGATTGAACCGTGGTCCCTGTGCTTTGCTGAGCTTGTTCTAAGTAGGTGCTTTAGACCACTGAGCCATCTCTCCAGCCCTGTTGAGCTATCTTGCTGGCTTCTCACCCTCACTTTTTTTTTGGTGGAACAAGGGATTAAACTCAAGCCCCTGTGCTTGCCAGGGAAGCATTTATTCTACTGAGCCATCTCTCTGCCCCTCACTTTTTAACTTTTTTAGAAAACTTTTATGATGACTGTGCTATGGGGCTAGGTCTCTCCAGCCAGGGTGGGAGTGCTGGGGGTAGGAGGTCCCACTTGAGGAGCTTCCCGCAGGTCCCTAACCTCCTTGTCTCCTTCCTTCTCCTTCCTCCTGCAGTAGTGCCAGGAGGTAGTGGCTGGGGTCCTAGGAGGCAGGTGGGCGAGGGGCAAGGCCTGTGGGGGCTCACCTACTTGTAGGTCCTCACACTGGAAACCTTTGTCAGCTGCTTGCCTCAGGGTCTTGGGTGCTGTAGACTGGGCAGTGGGCTGTGGTTTCTCCTTTGAACTGGTGCAGCAGTGGGGTGAAAATGTGTACCAAATGCATGTGGCTCCCACAGAATAGTAAGTATGAAGGGCAAAGGAGATAGCTCAGTGGCTTAAGTGCTTGCCTGGCAAGTATAAGGTCCTGAGTTCAATTCCTCGGTTACTGCCCCCCTACCCCCCTAAAAGAAGTGTGAGGTGCTCATGGGCAAATGGGATCTTCTCATCCGGGTATCTGATGCCACAGTTGAAGTCCAGCCCGGACTCTTCCAGGTTGAAGAACATGCCCAGCTTCCTGGTCATCATTTTGGTGTACATGGCCTCACTGGCTTGCACTGCTGGTGGAAGACACTGCCAACCACACAGAGGAACTGTGGCTACACCTTGCTTGGCCTTGCACCCCAGGGCTTTGCTGCAGCACAGGATGCAGGGCACCCCGGCCAACATGCAACCTCCTCATGGAGGATGACAGTGGTGAGGCTGGTAGTGCTGGACCCATGTGGCACTGTACGGCCATCTGGGTGTCCTCTGGAGACCTCGTCCTCCCCTGAGGCTGCCCACATACTGGCCCAGGAGCATGCTGTCCACCTGCACCTCACAGATACACTTTAGCGTTTTCACCTTCTCGTTGTGGTTGCGGGCTTCTCCATGACCACCAGCCAGCATCTGTAGCAGCTGGATCTGTACTCGGCCCTCAGTGTCAAAGGGCAGGGCCGTCCCAGGAGCACCATGAGGTTCTTCACCATCTCTGGACACTCTGATGCGGGAGATCTGGTTCCCGCGTTAAAAGGGAGATGAGGCTGGACAGTGGCTGGAGCCCAGTAGGTCCCCTCTGAAGGGCTTCTCCATGAGGAGATGGCTCTACCCTAGGGCTCCCACAGGCCTGGAGGGTGTGTGGTGACAGCCTTGCAGCAGTTGGGGCCAGGCAAGGCAGAGGAGGCACAAGCCACAGGCGCTGGTGCAGCGAGTCCATGTGTGCTTGGAGGCACTTGCAGGTGGCCAGGTGGTCGTGCTGGCAGAGACACAGACGCTGCCAGCTAAGGACTCTTCCAGCTTGGGCCTCTCCTGCAGGTAGCTTGCCAATGGCAGCTATGGTGAGGGGTGACCGAGCGAAGCCCACCACAGAGGTGTTCTAGGCAGCAGCCTGTCCCAAGAGCACCACCAGATGATGAGGACACCTTCTTCTGTGCCAGGTCACCCAAGTGCCCATGATGATGAACATGTGGGTGTCGGCCTGGTGGAAGGCCTTGCCCTGGATAGCTCTTCCTGCAGGATTCCACGTGCCTGGGTCAGCCCAGGCCCTCTGCTCCGCAAGATCCTGTCTGTGTACACAGCTGAGTGCACGACCACTGGGCCCACGCAACAGGCGGGGGCAGGCGCCCCCACAATTCCTCCGGAGCTCGCACTCAGAGTGTCCTCTTGGCCCTCCAGCACCGGCATAGGGGGCCGTGCCACTCAGCAGCCACCCTCTGCACAGCCCCGTGACCACCACTCCTTGTGGATACGCCTACCTCATTTTTTATTTATTTATTTTTTTACCTCATTTTTTTAAAAAAATTTTATTTATTTATGTGTGTGTGTGTGGCGCCAGCTCAGCCCACCAGGGGGCGGGGCTGGCTGGCATGTGGTGCTGGGGGTTGAACCGCGGTCCCTGTGCTTTGCTAAGCTTGTGCTAAGTAGGTGCTTTAGACCACTGAGCCATCTCACCAGCCCCAAAAGTAGAGACACATTCTTTTTTTTTGTGGAACGGGGGATTGAACTCAGGCCCTTACGCTTGCCAGGGAAGCACTTATTCCACTGAGCCATCTCCCCGGACCTCCTTACTTTTTAACCTCATAAACTTTAATGTAATTAAGATTGTGAATATATTCCTTTTTTTTTTTCTTTTCTTTTCTTTTTGAAACAGGGTCTTGCTGTATAGTTCAGGTTGGCCTTGAACTCACTTTGCAGCCCAGGCTGGCCTCAAATTCACAGCAAGCCTCCTGCCTTAGTCTCCTGAATGCTGGGATCATTGGCATGCACCAACACAACAATATATGACTTTTTTTTTTTTTTTGGCGGAACTGGGGATTGAACTCAGGCCCTTGCACTTGCCAGGGAAGCGCTTATTCCACTGAGCCATCTCCCCAGCCCCAATATATATTACTTTTATAATCAGAATCTAATAAGGAAATAAGACCAAAAAAACACAAACAAACAACCCACAAAACCAAAACTCTTCCCCAAGCCTAAATTCCACAGAGCCCTGGAATCCATTTGGCGAGCATAGTTGTGTGTGTGTGTGTGTGTGTGTGTGTGTGTCTGCATGCACGTGTGCGTGTGTGTGTGCATGCATGCACGCATGCACTGGGGCTACTTGTGGGGTGCAGGCCACACAGCTGTGGAGCAGCATCTGTTTCCTGCTGCATGCCAGCCCTGGGTAAGAGGCTGTGGCCCGACAGGACTGAGGTAATTCTAGGCATACACTTGGGATAGAGGCAATGGCATCATTTAGGAGAGCTGGGCCTCAGGTGCCTCCGAACAGATAGGTATGCTGGAAGTAACGGAGGGTGCAGGGCAGCAGGAGGAAGCACACCTGGTCAGACAGAACTGCCCAAACACACTGTGGTGCTGGTAGGGGGCATATGCACCACATGCCCAGGTACCAGACCACACTAGGCAAGCACTCTACAATGAGCCATACCACTTGCCTCCTCTGCCCTTTTTTTTTTTTTTTAATTTTGGAAAAGGGTCTTGCTATGTTGCCCAGACTGGGCTTGAACTTCTGATCCTCCTACCTCGGGTTCCCAAGTAGCTGGGACTGTGGTATATACCAGCACCATCTGGCCACGATACAATTCCTCTCAACATGTCAAATCCCCCTCGGCATCCCAAGCAGGACAGTCTGGTCCTCACCGCACAGCCTCACACTACAGCAGGTGCGCCAGGTGTTCAAAGGAGGCCCAGGGGGGCGGCTTGGGCTTCTGGGTGAGAAGCAGTCCTCGGGGCCAGCTCGAGTGGCAGTGCATCAGAGTCAAAAGCACTCATCACCCGGGAACAACAGTCTCCTGAGTGCTGGGAACACAGCCACATTCCATGCCCTCTGTGAAATTAGAGGAGTCTGTTCTCATATAGTTCCTTAGAACAAAGCATGGGGCTTTCTGTCCCTAGAATCCCTGGTGGGAAACCAAGGTGCAGGTACAGGAATAGATACCAACTTGGGGAGGAGGAGAGAACCACAGAAGAAACAAACTCTTTCAGGATTACTAGTGTGCATGGGGTTCCTGATGGCCTTCAACTTGGGAGTAAGGGTTGCTAGCAGCTATAACATCAGAGACAGCACAGAGCCTGACTCAGTCATCAGAGTTCTAGAGTTTGAAACCACCTTCAGAGTTTTCTGTTCAGACCTTCTGCCTGTCCAGGAGACAGGCTGGCTTCGTGTGCAGGCGGGGTTCTAGGGCTGTCCTGGGACATTCCCTGGTACCTTGTTGGTCACTAAGAAGGAAAGAACCAACCTTCTTCACACATTCCACACCCGAGAATGGATCCTCTGCCCTTCAGAGGCTGTTTGGTTGGGACCTTCTCTCTCTGCGCCCCGCCCATGAGAGGGCACCTGGCTGTGCACTGTGAAGGCACCAAGCCTCCTGAGGCCTCACCTGAACACCCTCGCCGGTGAGTGCTGAGCAGGACTGGATCTGCCAGACACGGTCGCGGATGGTGTGCAGATTCAGCCCCTCTGCAATTTCAGAGGCGGGGGCCGCTGTAAGCAGGTCCTGCTTGTTAGCAAAGATGAGCACTGGCACACAGCTGAGCTTCTCCTCCTCCAGCAACTCGGCTAGCTCCTGCACCACAGGGGGTGGGGTGGGGTGGGGACAGGGCAAGCATGGAATCCAGGGTACTTAGGAGGCTTTTACTTATAAAACCCAAAACACGTAAGCTGATCAATAGTAACTCCCAAGGGCAGTGCCTCTCAGGCTTCAACCATCTTTGTACAGGGATGCCCCATCAGACCCCTAGGCTGAGCAGGATGCTGACTTGGGAGCAGGAGCCAGGCTCAGCAACCTGCTGTAACATCTGCCTAGGTGCTCCTCCTGGAGGTGAGTCAGGGATCACACTTTGCTGCCTTTGGAAGCCCACTTCTGGTATTCTAGGACACAGGCCAAAGACTGCAAGGAGATCTGAGCACGCTTCCCCTAGGAGGTCTGCTCCACCAAGTGAGGCTTCCTCTGCCTAAGCAGTCTATGCCATTGCTTCTCTATGCAAAATGTGGACAGTGACCACGTCATATACACACACTGACATATAGCCTGTACTTGAAGCCATATTTGGGTCAAGGTTTATCTACTGACTTTTTTTTTTAATGTAAGTATCTTTAATTACTAGTATTTTTTTTTTTTTTAATGGAACCAGGGATTGAACTCAGGCCCACGCACTTGCCACGGAAGCACTTATTCCACTGAGCCATCTCCCCTATCTACTGACTTAGAAACAATAGCAGCTTAACTCTGACCTGTAAATTTTTTCCCATCTTTTTGAATTTGTCACAGTTAACTTTGGATCAATTAAATAAAAATGGTAAGTGTAAAGCTGCAATAGTGGCCCCAGCCTATAACCTTACCGTTCTGGGAGGCTGAGGAAGGAGGAACACAAGTTGGAGCCCAGCGTGGGCAATTCAGAGATCTTGTCTCAAAAAAGGGATGGGAATCTGGACGTGGTGGCCTGAAACGCCATCACCTGGGAGGCTGAAGCAGGAGGCTCACTGCAAGCTGGAGGCCAGCCCAGGCTACAGAGCCAGCCTGACTTACAGAGACAAACCTGTCCCTCTGCATCCCCACCCAAAAGTGGGCTGGCGATTTAGCTGGGTGTGAGAGGGCTGGGTCAATCCTCATCCAGCGGACAGGACAAAGCACCAATATGGAGAGGACAAGTGCCTTGTTCCTGTGGGTTTATTTCTACATGGGCTAAAAGAAAATACCAGAGCACAGTACTGTTTTAGGCATGGTGCTAAATTCTATCTGTTGCTATCTTCTATATTCAATTTGACTGATGCTAAAAGGCTTTAATCACAAAATTGTTTAAGGACCCTCAACTAGTTTCTTTTCAGATAGCTGTCATGTTTGTGAGTCAGAATGACCATACTGTTCAAATTAAAGGTTAAACAAAAGCCACCTCCCTCCCTCTCACACATTTACAAGGTAGATTAATGAATACCCCAGTTTTGGAAGTATCTCAAGAGCAGTTATTTACCTGGCCCGTCTCTTCAAATCTTTTTCTGTCTGCACTATCAATCACATAGATCTGTAAAGGAAAAAAGGTTACTTCACCAAGCAGAAATAGCAGGCAGAGGGCCAGCTTCTATCAAAGGAACAGGTAGATTACAGCAGATTTCAGCTGAGTACAACATACAGAAATGACTGGCAGCTCTCACCTCATCTATGGAACCTAAATGTATAAATCAACTATCAGCTTGAAACTTGTCTCCAAGAAAAAAAAAAAAATCAAGTCATAAAGGAAAAAAAAAAATTAAATGTATTCTAGGGGCTGGAGAGATAGCTTGGCAGTCTAAGCGCTTGCCTGGCAAGTGCAAGGACCTGGTTGAACCCCTGTACCACATGCCATGCCTGCCCCAGAACCCCAGACATGCTGGGCGGGCCACTAAAACTGGGCATGGTGGCGCACACCTGTAATCCCAGCACTGGGAAGGCAGAGACGAGAGACTCACCATGAATCTGAACTGAGTAGTGAGACCCTGTATCAAATAAATTAATTTAAAAAAAAAGTATTCTAAAGGGAGGTTATGATTCACGGCACTCAGCATGGTGCTGCTGGGTGTGGTGGTGTAGACCTGTAACTCCAGCACTTGGAGGCTGAGGCAGGGGGATGTCTGTGAGTTGGAGGCCAGCCTGGGCTACATAAGCAACTTCAAGGCCAGCCTGAGTTACATAGTAAGACTGATCTGAAATAAATAAATAAATAAGTAAATGAATAAATAAAAAATCAGAGTGGTGCTTTAGGCAGTTGGTTGTATCTTTCTTGGCAGCTACTTCGACATTTTTATTTGGTTACAGAAGATCTACAGAAAGGGTGATACTACCACCTCTCCTCCCCCTCATTTTGTAGTTCTAGGGACTGAACCAAGGGTACACCGGGTTACACTGCCAAACCTTTCTTGAGACAGGTTTTTGCCAAGTTTCTGAACTGCTAAGCTAGGCTGAAACATGTGATCCTCATGCCTCAGCTTCAGGTGTTAAGATTACAGGCATGTGCCACCACACCTGGCAGGAGAAAGAGCCAGGTGAGGTGACACATGGCTGATGCACCAGTTCCCCACCAGGAATGCAACCATTATGTACTGTAAGCGTGCTAATAAAAATCAGGAAGGAGGGGGCTGGTGAGATGGCTCAGTGGTCTAAAGCACCTACTTAAAATAAGCTCAGCAAAGCACAAGGACCACAGTGCAATCCCCCAGCACCACATGCCAGCCAGCCCCGCCCCCTGGTGGGCTGAGCTGGCCACACACACGTTAAAAAATAATAATAATAAAAAAATCAGGAAGGAAAGGGCTTCTCCCAATGAGTTAAGGCCCTGCGGCTCAATGGAGTCGGCACACAGTGCCCTTTGTCTAGCGCCTGCTCTGCTCCTGGGCGTGCTGCCACCTCTTGGCCATTGTGCTCCTCCTGTGCTGCTCTCCGAGGCTGGTCAGCCTGAGAGGCCCAGGTGTGGCTTCCCACTGTCAGCCTGAGTTGAGGTCTATGGGTGAAACAGGCAGGCATGGGGATAAGCTCTGACGTCCCTTATTGGAGCACCTCCTATCCTCTGAGTGTCCATGGGAGCATTATTATGTAATTAGCAAAGAGATGATTTTATTTTTCTAATATATTTGGTTGTTGCAGGGTCTCACTATGCAGCTTGGACTCGCGGTGATCCTTTTACCCTCCCCAGTGCTGGGATCACAGGCATGAGCCACTAGGCCTCGATTCTGGCTGGCTCAGCCCATCCTGGGGGCAGGGGTGGCCAGCCATGTGGTTCCTGGGATTGAACTGCAGTCGCTGCGTTTTGCCTAAGCAGGCCCTTTAGTCCACTGAGCTATCTCACTCGCTCAGAGAGGGTTAATGTTTGAAATGTATCTCACTTGATATCCTTTGTCAGCACTTTGTGGTAATGGGAATTGAATCCACAGCCTTTGCACTCGGCTACAGCTACTCCTTAGCTATTGTTTTAAATTTTCAGACAGGGTCTCACTGTGTTACCCAGGTTGGGCTTGAACTTGTGATCTTCTTGTCTCAGCCTCCCAGCATACTGGAGGTACAGGTGTATGTCACAATAGCCAGCAATGTCCTGTTTGGGATAGCGAAGCGGTGACTAAGTCACTTGGTGTAAGTTATGTGAAGTTTCAATACCAAGCCTATGATGATGTGAGTGGCGCTTCACAGTAACATGGACATACTGGGAGCAGGTACTACCATGCTCACCACAGCACGCCTCACACGTGCTACAGAAGCACGTCTGGTGAGCCATGCACGCATCTTATGCATCCACAGGCCACTTTACTTCCCTAGCCTAAACACTGGAAAGTACCCTGTCTTCACCCTTCTATCAAACATTGTCTTGGTTACTTCTCCCAAATTGATAAAGCTGAGTCCAGTGTCCTCAGCATCACCCTCCTTGAGAGCACCTAACCCTTCAAAAGTTACCCCAACTCTTCAAGCGACTACAGAATCATTCTGTGCTGCCAAGCAAGGGCGGACAAACCTTTTTGGGAGGAAGCAATGGGAAATGCTTTCCACTTGTGGCCAAAAGGCTCATCCACAAGACTGATGGTGGTGGCCGGGGAGATCAAGCCACAGGAAACCTGCGTACAGACCTGTGTGCCTGTGTCCCAACAGGACTTTTATTTGTGGAAACTGAAATTTGAATTCCATATAAAATTTTCTTTCCTTCTTTCTCTTCTTCTTCTTCTTCTTCTTCTTTTTTTTTTTGAGACAGGGTCTCACTATGCAGTTCGGGCTGGCCTTGAGCTCACTTTGTAGCCCAGGCTGGTCTCCAACTTGCAACAATCCTGTCTCAGTCTCCTTAGTGCTGGGATTATAGGCCAGCAACACTCTGCTTGGCTTGAACTGCACAGAAGTTTTACATGTCACAAAATATTTTTTTGTTTTGTTTTGTTTTTTGGTACTGGGAATCAACTCAGTCAGGACCTTGCACTTGCCAGGCAGGTGCTGTGCTGCTGAGCTACACCCCTGGTCCCTTCTTTTTTCTCAATCACTTAAAAACATCAAAACCTCTCTGGCTTGCAGGCTATACAGAGAGAGGAGGCTGGATCACATGTGCCCTGGTGCTAAAGCAAGATCTGACCACAGGCCCAGAGAAGTGAAGGATGTTTGCCTGCCTCATCCTGCTTCTGCATCCGTGTGGAGCACAGTGCTATGGGCGTTCACCAGCAGGGCACAGTAAACAGCCACACAGCCCTTGGCACTGTCATTCCAACGGTGACAAACAGGCAGCAGACTCAGGGAGAGGCTCATGGTGTCAGGACCCAGTTCACAGACTTGGCTGCTTCAGCAACTTGGGCTCCCCAATGGCTCAGGATGTAATGGAAGCCTGGCTGAAGCCCTAGGGCCGCCCTGGGCCAGCGTGATGTGGCTGCTCTCAGCTGACTTTCTCCTGGATGGCACATGAGTTCCCAGGCACTCTGGCTGATGAGAAGGTGGGCTCTAGGGTTCCCACCACGAGGCTTGCAGCACCCCACCAGGTGTTAGTGCGTATGATTCCAAACTGCCCTTACCTGTAGCCCAGAAAGTACCTTACGGAGGCTTGTGATCACAATGTCCTCACAAACTGCTCTTCTTTGGGTCACGTTCTTGTTTTTGTACACAGGGTCTCACCATGTAGTCCATGCTGACTTCAAACTCACAACACAGCCCAGGCTGGCCTCAGCCTTATTGTGATCCTCCCGTCTTAGCCTCCCAAGTACTGGGATTACAGGTTTGAGCTACCATGCCTGACATTTTTGGGTTTTTTAAGATGTTTTGCTATGTAGCCCAAACTGCCCTCAAATTTGTGGCAATCTAGCCTGGGTTACAAAGTGAGTTAAAGACAGGAGAATAAGAGGTATACAATAGTAGTCTTTTAGTTATTCTTTTGTGTTCAGCAGCAAAATATTTCCATCAGCACACCCTACAAATGGACTTCTCTTCCACCCTATGGGTCATGATTCCACCTGAGTCTACAGGGTGGATTTCAAAGAAATAGCTGTAGGGGGCTGGAGAGATGGCTCAGTGGTCTAAAGCACCTACTTGAAACAAGCTTGACAAAGCACAGGGACCGCGGTTCGATCCCCCAGCACCACATGCCAGCCAGCCGTGCCCCCTGATGGGCTGAGCTGCCCCCCCCACAATAAATAAATGTTAAAAAAAAAAAATAGCTGTAGCTCAGTTCCACAAGTGACGCCTAGCCACCAGTAACTGTCACAGTCACTATGCATGTCCACAATACACTAGAACTTGTGCGATATCCTATCCTCAAACTGTTAGAAGTGCTGGTCATTTACTTGCCATTCCAGTATTTATCTTATGCTTTACTCTTAGTACTTCTTTGCTATCATGAAAAGTTTTTCTTAGTTCAATTGTTTTGAAACATTTAATTTTTTTTTTTTTTTTTGCAGAACCGGGAATTGAACTCAGGCCCTTACGCTTGCCAGGGAAGCACTTATTCCACTGAGCCAGCTCCCCGGCCCCTTAATTTTTTTTTTTAATTTAATTTATTTATTTGTGTGTGTGTGTGTGTGTGTGTGTGTGTGCGCACGCGCGTGTGTACGTCTGTGTGTGTGGCCAGCTCAGCCCACCAGGGGGCAGGGCTGGCTGGCATGTGGTGCTGGGGGATTGAACCACGGTCCCTGGGCTTTGCTAAGCTTGTTCTAAGTAGGTGCTTTAGACCACTGAGCCATCTCACCAGCCCCTACGATAACTATTTTTTAATCAAGTAAATGAGTATAGCACAGTTTGCTTATCCATTTACTTCCTAAAGAGTACCTTGGTGGCTTCCAAGTTTTGGCAACTAGGCATAATGCAGCTATAAACATCCAGAGGCCTGGACCTGGTGAGATAGTTCAAGAGACTTGGGGCTGGGGAGATGGCTCAGTGGAATAAGCCCTTCCCTGGCAAGCGCAAGGGCCTGAGTTCAATCCCTGGTTCCGGAAAAAAAAAAAAAAAGAGAGAGAGAGACTAAGCAGCTGCTTACACAAGTGCAGGGACCAGGGTTTGATCCCCTTGCACCACATGCTGTGCAGACCCCCCACC